AACTTGAAGGTAAACTTCCTTTCGTTAATTGGCATAGCTAATGCAAAATCATTTAAAGGATTTAATGGTTCACAAAGAAAATTATTTCAGAGAAATTTAAAACACCTTTTCCCAGTGTAAACATACGCCGCCGAGCACAAAGTTTAAAAGAACTACGTAATTAACCTACTGGCGTATTAAACGAAGATTTGCCTAGTTGAATAATATACGCAGTAAATTATTTTTGAATAAATAACCGAAACATGGACAGCAGAAGGTGAATTGGACCTAATCCGTCATATAGAAAATTACAGCAAGTCGCTTTATCCAGCTTGAAGTGTGCAGCAACGCAATTAGGGGTTTCGGATAAACTGGAAGGTAGGTATTCGAAGAAATGAAACTTCAAAGAAATGCATCCATCGGGGAAAGATGTATGTGGAAGGGATTCTTAACTACGGGAGCAACAATCCCGTGCCTCGTAAAAGGAGTGCCGTCAAAAGTCTACTGGACCGAGCGAGGAAACTCTGCTCTCAGGAACAAACCTACCGAGACGAGCTTAATTATATATTTAAATTGTTTTCACTAATTTTCTATCCCAGGTTCTTGGTAGGCCAATGCATGAGAAGACTATAGGGCAGCGAAAGGGGACTAGAAAGTTCCATTCAGGCGCCCATGTTTCGTTTATAAGGAGCCTGTCTGAAGTCGTTAAAATACACTTTCGAAAAAGACAAATAAAAGTGGCGCAAAAACCGATGTGTACGTCACGCGTCCAGCCACTACTTCTAAGGAAAGGGTTGGCTACCTCGATAAGTAGGAAGTCATCTGCAAATTACCGTGCAAAGCCAGTGACACGGTATATGTTGGCCAAACAGGAATATCCGTCTGCACACGCATATATGGCAAGGTTGTTAAGGCTACGCAGGTGTAAACCAAACGGCTGCGATCTTCCAGACCCATTTCTTTAGGAGATTAGAGAAGTATTGCAAAGGAGAGCAGTAGGAACAATATATATTTTTTACAGAATGAGTTCGAGAATAGTTCATAGGAAGGTTGACTCGGTCTGGTGTTCCTTCGATCGTGAGAGCCGTGCAAGAGTGGAGTGACGTGGCGTCCTGCCCGCG